ATATATATATATATATATATAAAATATCAAAAATAGAGTATTTATAAATATTAAATATATATAGATGAAATAAATTTCTATTTAGATTCTATTTTTTTAATTATGCTTGAACAAATATAAAAGCTCATAAAAACCTATTACAAGTAGCTTAAACTATTTTATAATTCAAATTATCATGGAATGTATCATTTAAATGCAAATAAGCCAATTGAGTGTGCTTAAGACTCTATTTGTAATTTATTATTCAAAACGTTATGAACATTAAAGCACTTAATTAGCACTCAATTATTAATCATACATTCCGTCCACAAGTGTACAATTATGCACATTTTGCATCAACTAAAACGCTTAATATGGATAAAGCACTCGACGTAGGCACATGGTGCTCCCATAAAACAAGATTCGAGATGTGTGGAATACTGAGTAACAGGTACACTCGAGCAAATAATTCCACAAAATATAATTACACGGTCCGTCTCGGTGTTGTTTTATCGCAGCTCGATTAAATGGTTGGTTCGTGTCATGCAAAACATTTCTAAGAAGAGGCAATTTTAATTGGATCATCGGATTGCACAACGGCATCGACGTGGATAACAATTACTCGATTTACCCACGCGTTTCTCCGAACTTTTCGCGGACTTGCTCAATTATCGACTTGTACTACTTGCGTGTCGGCGATTCCGTTCATCGTTCTCTTCCGTTTCTATCTTCAGAAATTATTTTCGTTCCAACGTATCGAACATTTAACGATATTTGTATCAAACTTACAGAAAGTAGAATTTAATACTCGCGGAAGCTCGTATTAGTTTCTTGATTTTAATGATTGATCGAATGTTTTGAAAAGTTTATCGCATTACCCATCTACTAACTTAAATTACAAAACTTAGTAAGCTGAGGTAAACCTCGACTTGAAAACTCGTTTATTAAGAAATCATTTCTATCTCAGAAAGTTTGATGACCTAAAATTAGTAAACAAAGGAATTCTTACGAGTTTAACTCGTTTCATGTTTGTATATTTTCATTTGTTGGATATTTTTTAATTATATTAAAAATATAATTATTATTTGCTAATAACGCTGTTTCAATTTAAAACTACGTTTTTGCCATTTTCCTCTCAAACTCAGCGTCATTTGATTCTGCGTTTTTCACTAAAGATTATCTTTCTCTATCAAAAGAGTTAACTAATGTTAAGTTATTCGAGTCGTCGCCCTTATTCTAATTCTTACCTATGGCAGTTTTAGTGCGCACGGTGCGTGAGTATCCCATGGGATGAAGTATCGCCCAGTAACGATCTACGGACACCGCCACCAGACAGAAGATACTGATCGTGCAGAGGACGATCAGCACGGAGACGGTGAATAAGCAGGCGTGTAAATTCGTCGGTAAACCAATGCTGGCCAAAATAGCAAAAGGTATGGCGAATAATCCGACCAGCAAATCAGCCGTGGCTAAAGAGATGATGTAATAATTGGTTCGTCGACGGAGTTTCCTCTCTTTACTGAAGACTATGATCACCAGACCATTGCCGAACACCGCGCATACCGCCACCAAAATCTCACAAACTGTATACGGTAGATTAAGTTCGGAATGGGTCGACGCGTTTACCGCTGTCACAGTCAAATTATCAGCCAATTCGCTGGATTTTGACGGAAATTCCATCACGATAAACGCTGATATTTTTAACGCAATCGTCATCTACCTTTTGCCGATCTAATCCTGTTGATTAACACATTGGTACATTCATCAAAGGAAACAGGTGCTGCTGAGATCACAGAGATTTTATTTTAGTATTTTTATATAATTCATATTTTTGTTAATATATATCAAGTTGATAACTATAATTAATATTCCTTTGTTCTTTACCACAGGTTTATACGAGAAACGAGACTAGCAAATGGAAAACCCAAGGCGTTGCGTGACCAGCACTATTTTCAGCGTTTTTAATGAATCTCTTTAATTTCTATATACAGAATATCTGTAATGTGTTCAGCGTGTCATGCGAACTTGGTAAGTCCTTGGATAGATCTTACTCTTTTAATATAGAGAAAGAATAACTGGCAGATGACGTATCAACGAAACGAAATCGGTCATCGACATCTTCTGTCCTTTTTCTATTCTGAGAATTTTCTCCAAGCCACTGTTAAATATTGTGCAATTGCCATATCACGCTCGTTGGTAACCAATCGGTCTTATTTTAAGAAGAAGACGTTAACACGTACCGGAAAAAGGAAGCATGGTCGTTTATTTGTGCGAACGTGCCGCGACAACTAACGATATTTGTGCCACTTTTCACGTAATCAGCTTTCAGTCTCCGTTTTGTGGTACGTATTTAATAGTACATATTAATTCACTAGAAATTTTCTAATATATATATGTAATGAATATATGATCCTCCAAGGATAAAGTATTAATTGCATAAAGTATCAAGTTCGGCTCTGACTAGCTCAAAATATCTGACTGGAGATTTATAGATTAAAAATTATCATTACATCAACAATTCTGTTTCTCAATCTTCTTTCAAAATGGCCACAAATGAATAATGTATATGTAATTATACGTTCTCAAGCAATTTAAGATATCTCTGAAGACTTATGTCTCTTCAAGAAATAATCAATCGTCCATTCAGAAACAGTATGACCGGAAGTCACAGGTTGTGAGCAATCAAATTCATTTAGAGGACGTTCCGAGTCTAGCCAGGTCTTGACATCGCACTTGCGGAACTTATTACAGGACACTATCTTCCGGCACATGTTTCATCGGAAAGTAATTCTAACTTCCGGCAGTACGCGTGCCTTTGATCACCTCTTTATTCGACTCACACACGAGTTTCTACCGTAAGTTTAAAAACTGTTTCTTCAAACTTCGGTATTGAGCGATTACAAAAGCTTCTTTCCATCGGTTTTTCAATTAGCCCCATTCTTCTTTGTAAAATTCGACGAATTCTCTTCTCACTTCGACGAAATCACGCGGAAAGAACACGGACACGGTGGCTCGTAGAGTTTAATCGATTAGGTTCTTTTTAACTTTCTTCTTTAATAGATCGTTTCTGTTCAATTCTACTTTATTCCTCCTTTTTCCTTATTAACAATTTAATCTCCCTTTAATTCCTCTTTTATATTTATTTAAAACATTTAATTTATCATGAAAAGATTGCGTGCACACCTTCTTGTTCTGCTTTGATTTTTCACAGCAGTTTCATTCAATACGCATAAGCTTTCGGATAAGTATTACATATGACCTTTTCGCGAAGAAACTTCTCCATTTTTTGAAACATTTGACTTGACGCAGTATCGAAGACTGTCCTTTATTGCCTCTCACGGTGACGCAATTAAAAAGCTGCTCGCCTTCGACAAGAAACATAGATTAAACTTTTAATTTCACGGCTTTAATGTGACGGCGGTCCCTTCGGGAAAGTTAAACATTAATGAGGAAAAGATCAACATCGATCATTTCGATCGCGACGCAATTTCAAACATTTTTAATTTGATACGACTAAACGATGGAACAATTTCCTAGATATTTATTTTAAAATAACTAGAACGATCTCTAGATCGTATCAACACCTCCGTATTTTCATTTTAACCTTAAGCCCTGTCCAAAATTTATCTTTATTTTGGAACTACATCCGAGGACGATGTTGAATAATTGTGATACGGCTTAGGATGTCTAGAATAAAATTAGAAGCAATAAAAGTCGTCATAAATAGTAGCAATCGTATTTTAATATCATGTCTCGCCTACGCTCTAGTCTCAGCTTTTACGTACATCTTTATTTATAGAGACTTAGCGTGTCACTTGCCGATCATCATTATCTAAAGTTTCCTTGTTGTTTCAAAATTTCGAGCACAATATTTTTATCTTATTTTCACGACGAGATATCAAGTGACCACGTATCCAATTCAAGTTCAAACTTGTTTAATTTTCAATTTTCAATTAATCGAAATGTTCGACGACAAATCGATTCGAATTCGTTCGGTAACCAATCGGAGCGGCCCGGATCTTTATTTAACCAATCAACGTCGATCAATGACACCGCGCGCTTTTTTTCTTCTTTTTTCAAACAGTCACCAATTGGTCAACGATCAACGCGAGCGATTCACGACGTTTCTTTGAAACTGCCGGGTGAAATCGAAAATTAGTGTATCGAAAATCGTGAATAGAACGCGTCCAGGGAACACGTCCGACTTCTCAACCCCGTGGCGCGTAACTGAGTTCCTTTTCGTGACACACGGGGATACCGCGACGTGGTGGAGGTGGGATAGACGCGGCTGTAAGTTATGGTGGTAGTGGTAAACCGAAGAAGATAATCGGCATTAATTATTCACGATTTTATTCATGAATAAATATTTATGTATATATATTAATAAATGTTATATATTCATGATTTTAATATTTTATTTAATTCAATAATCCTTGGACAGTGCTAACAGAGCCACTTGAATATAAGAGGAAAATAATGGTGCAATTATAAAGTTAGTAAAATTTTAATTAGTTAGACAATATTTTTCCCCCCTTCGATTATTATATATTAAAGTAAAAAGTTAAAAAGTTAAAATATTCGATGAAAGAGAAATGTAAGAAAAAGAACTTGCCCCCAAGTAATGTTCGTAGAAAAACGAACATGCTGTGTCGAATCAAACCTGACCCGGCGTATAAAAGTATTCACTGTCGCAAAGATTAAATACAACTTCAAAAACAAAGATTTGAAACCATAAGAATCCCTCGATTGTAATGGATGTTAAATTGACCATCGAATTTTAAATGTTCAATTTATCACGGCCGAAGTATCAATGGATGTAGAATTAATTTCTGAAAGACTTCGACGTCTTGTCATCTAATTTCCTTTCCAATATTTTTCAGGAAATTGACCGAAGTAGCGATCGGCAGTTAAAAACATCTGTGACTCAGTAGAACGTACGTACCTTTCGGTAGCAATTTCTGCAACAGCGTCTTGCGAGATTTGTAATTGGATAAGCGTACCGCAAGTGAGGATCAGTGACATGTCTGTATGTGTGGGTGGTAGGAAACGACGCGTACGAAACGGCACGTTCATGTGCGTGAAATTGTTGAACATGAAGAGTAAGTTCCTTGCAAGATTGAATAGAAAATTAGTCCTCTTTCGGCAAAATTAGAAATTCCACTCCGTCCGTGGAGCCGTAGAGTTTCGTTCTATATTCTATAAATCGCTCGACGCGGCGAACTTTTCTCCCTTTTACGAAACTTTATTGACTGACCGAGTTGTTCGATTACGATTCCTTAGGAGAGTTTCAATTTAAGAAGATCTCTATATATATATTTTCTTAGGAAGTCTCGCAATAAATGTTGGAAACTACGGGATATTGTTGGAGGGCAATGTTTTCTTAATGTATATCTCGATGGAAAAAGCTTGCACTAACATTGAAGAAAGTCATCAAGTTACGAACATAAAAGCAAATTTAATTCTACATGCTCTCATGATCGAACTGACGATATCAAATATGCCTCTCGTTAGTTTCCTTTCGTGAAATTCGAAAAAGACAATCGCAATTAATTACGCGCATGTGTGTTAATATTAATTAAAATAGAAAATAGAAATTTCTATTTCTTTTTCAATTGACCGTTAATTTTCAATTTATATCAACAAATATATCTTATTTCAGCCATATCTTGTTTCAATCGTTGCTGAACAACAATTGAAAATTTAACTCGTTCGCATAGTTCATGGGAGAACTGTCTACTCAATATATTATTAATCAGATCATCTTGCAAACAAGCGGATATTTGTTATTCCATTCAACATTGGAGAGAATCGGATTACTGCCAAGGTTAACCAGACAAATGGGTCTGCGTATTTCTCGTTTTCTCTTCTCGCAGAAGATGCTTCTATCCGATCTGTGCCTACGTTCTACGTATGGGAGTTTCGTTTCAAGTGAGAAATCGAGTTCTGAGCAAGTTCCTAGGGATCCAATTTTATTGCAAGGTATATCTTCCGCGATGATCGATTTCCTTCTATATGTAATAAATAAATAAGACCACATAACTTTCCCAAGATGTTGCATATTTGCTAACGATTGCCGTATCGAGGATCGAACTAATGTGAGAAAACTGTAGAATTGAATGATGATTTTAATTGTCTTGATCTTAAGCATGTCTTCGACCTTTGCCTGTTATTACATTGTTCTGGCAATTATGCAATTAGTCCGACATACAGTGAGCTTTTATGAATTTCACGACTGTATATTGTGAAATCGATGAAGTTTTAAAAGGCTCGAATGTACAGCTCGATCGTTGGAACGCGTTTCTTTTTCGATAGTAGTAAGAAAATATAGTGGGCGAAGGGTCATGGACATCTCAAGG